TTTCGGGGTCGCTCTACAAGATTCCATGCTCAGATTTTAAATTTATCGCATAGAAAATTAAATATGGCGAATTTTGTGCACCAAATTGCGAAAAAAATGAAATTTTTTTTTTTAAATAATTATTTCTTACTGAAAACATTTTTTTCAAATGAATACAAGTGTCACAAATTGGCACAAACTTATTAAACTTTCAAAATATGCAATAGCGGAAACAAAAAAAAACAAAATGGCGGCTTCAAAATGGCGCTAATTTGAGAAAAAATTAATTAATTTTTTTTATAGTGCACCGATTCAGGCAATAGCTATGAAATGTAATAGAACTTAGTGTTTATATGTTTTTGAGGTCTCTCATCACGAATATGTACTCGGATTTTCAAAATTCAAAATGGCGGATCCAATATGGCCGACGAAAATTTTAAAAATTTACTCGATTCGCTTGAATTTTGTTACTCAGGGGTTTTTGAGGTCGCTGATTGTGAATCTGCAATCGGATTTTCAAAATTCAAAATGGCGGATCCAATATGGCCGACGAACATTGTAAAAATTCACTCTATTCGCTTGAACTTTGTTACTCAGGGGTTTTTGGGGTCGCTGATTATGAATCTGCTATTGGATTTTCATAATACAAAATGGCAGATCCAATATGGCCGACAAAAATTATTTAAATTTACTAGATTTGCTTGAAACTTGTTACTCAGGGGTTTTTGGGGTCGCTGATTATGAATCTGCTATTGGATTTTCAAAATACAAAATGGCGGATCCAATATGGCCGATAAAAATTGTTTAAATCAATTCTAGTCGCTTGGAATTTGTAAAATGATGACCATCTATTTGCCGTCAGAATAAGACGTTTACCAACTCTCTAAATTATTCTAATGATATTAAAGCTAAAATTCGATAATATTGGTCAACTACTCCTTATCTGTCATCTCAAATTGTTTCATTAACAATGTCAGGTTATAAGTTTTGCAATATTAAGTCTTATGCTAAGATAGTGTTGAAACAATTTATCTAAGCCAATTAGATTTAGACCTACAATTTTTTCGTTGTGTACTTCTGAGGGATTTGATTTGTATTTTGCCTTATTCTGACGGCAAATAGATGGTCATCATTTTACAAATTCCAAGCGACTAGAATTGATTTAAACAATTTTTATCGGCTATATTGGATCCGCCATTTTGTATTTTGAAAATCCAATAGCAGATTCATAATCAGCGACCCCAAAAACCCCTGAGTAACAAGTTTCAAGCGAATCTAGTAAATTTAAATAATTTTTATCGGCCATATTGGATCCGCCATTTTGTATTATGAAAATCCAATAGCAGATTCATAATCAGCGACCCCAAAAACCCCTGAGTAACAAAGTTCAAGCGAATAGAGTGAATTTTTACAATGTTCGTCGGCCATATTGGATCCGCCATTTTGAATTTTGAAAATCCGATTGCAGATTCACAATCAGCGACCTCAAAAACCCCTGAGTAACAAAATTCAAGCGAATCGAGTAAATTTTTAAAATTTTCGTCGGCCATATTGGATCCGCCATTTTGAATTTTGAAAATCCGAGTACATATTCGTGATGAGAGACCTCAAAAACATATAAACACTAAGTTCTATTACATTTCATAGCTATTGCCTGAATCGGTGCACTATAAAAAAAATTAATTAATTTTTTCTCAAATTAGCGCCATTTTGAAGCCGCCATTTTGTTTTTTTTGTTTCCGCTATTGCATATTTTGAAAGTTTAATAAGTTTGTGCCAATTTGTGACACTTGTATTCATTTGAAAAAAATGTTTTCAGTAAGAAATAGTTATTTAAAAAAAAAAAATTTCATTTTTTTCGCAATTTGGTGCACAAAATTCGCCATATTTAATTTTCTATGCGATAAATTTAAAATCTGAGCATGGAATCTTGTAGAGCGACCCCGAAAACATAAAGAAACGCTTCAGTTATTTTTAGGGAGCATGTTTAATATATAAAATTATATCTTAAATTAAACACAAAATTTCAAAGGTTTCAGGCGTTAATGGGATAAACAAGACACCTCGGCTTGGTGTAATATGTCGGACGATGAAATCGAAAATTAATCAAATCTGCTTGAATTTATGACTCTGGGGTTTTTGTAATCGCTATAGTTACGAATATGGCGTATTTTTTAACGTTGATTAATTTTTAATTTTATTGTCATTCATACAAAATTTGAGTCGGATTTTCAAAACTCAAAATGTCGGATTCAATGTGGCTGTGATTTATAATACCTACATTTTTTATTTTAGTTCCTCAAATTTACTTTTTTTGTAGGGCTACTATCCTGGTTGTGTTTGTATCTCAGGATATACCAGGAACGCAAATTATACATGCATTCTTATTACAAACTGTCCTGCAAGTAATTATCATATGTATTTCTTATAATTTTCATTGCTCATGTTTTTATTTAGCTTTTAATTTCATTTTTTTGATAAGAGAGATAAATTTCAATTTATTTAACAGCAACTACAACTGTCGCTTCAACTACCTGTAAAGCCAATGAAACATACGATGCCAGAGCAGCATCTCTTGAGTGTAGACCAACCCTGTCAAAATCTTTCGGGAGCTGTATCTTAATTTTTATTATTTATTTTAATTCTAATTTTTTTTTACTTTTTAATTGTAACGTCTTGATCAAAAGTGTGGCTAAATGGTTAAAATAATTGTATTAGAATTGTTGTTCTTTAACAAAAATTTTATCTTCTGAAATTCAGTTTTTATTTTAGTAAAAATCTAGAATTAAAAAATATTCACGAATTATTATTAAGTTAAAATGGTTTAATACACCTAATTGCTAATTAAACTTTTACAACGAAAATAATTTATTTGAAAAATTCAACTATTGTTGGGTAGTAAAGTAAAAAGCAGTTAAAGTAATTACTTTTCAGTTAATCTAACACTGTCGTTTGTATAGTTAATTTAATTATTTCTTATTAAGTTAAAAATTTGGAATTCAGTTAATTAATAAATTAGTTAAATTATAAAAACAACTACAAAATCTGATTGCACCAACTGCATTCTTAGTTCTTTTAAGTACTTTTTGATGTTTAATACACATTTTTTTAATTTGATTGAGCATTTACGAAAATTTAATAGCTTTACAAGACTTTACTGTAACATGAAGGAAATATTATGTTTATATTTTGAAATATTTTTCAGGATCTTTACTCAGGATGTGTTTGTCAAAAAAATTACGTTCTTACTAACAGCACTACCAAAAATTGTATCTCCATGCTTGACTTATTGCTTGTTTAAAATAACATTGCTTATTTATACAAGTACAAAAGCTATCATGAGCGCAGTATTGGGATTTTACAAATATTCTAATTTTTATTGGAAATCAGTAAAAAGTAATACAAAATTCTTTGTTATATAAATAACCTTTCTTTAACATTTAAATTGTTGCACATGACAATAAATAATTCCAACTTTAGCTTTTTAAATTTAAAAATTTTTTAATGTCATATATATATATATATATATATATATATGTTACCGGCAAAACCCGAAGTCCAGGTAAAACCCGAATTGACTAGGCAATTCGGATTTTGCCTATGATTTTAGGAAATACCCGAATTTCCTAGAGATTCATAGGCCAAACCCGAATTGTCTAGGCAAAATCCGATTTCCCTAGGCAATTCGGGTTTTGCCAAGGCCGTTTCAGGCAAATTGAAAATCAAACTAAATTGAATTAAATTAAATTAAATTTATTCGAAAAAATATTACTATGACGCAATTGATCATAAGAAAATAGTCTTAGTTGAAAGAATTTCTTTTTCAATTTACCAAATGGCTTGTATTGAGTCGTGCATTGATGTAAACAAATAGTAAACGAACTGTTCTTCATAGCTCACTATTAATTATTATAGTGTCTCTTCTGACTTTAAATTGTACATACCATTCGAAATTAGTAACGAAAATTTTATTCAAAAATGGAAAAGCGATTTTTATGCGGCGGTTAATAAATCTGCAAATTATAAAATAATTGTGCAAGAGAAATATGATGAGATTTTAAAGGATGTGAAAAGTGGAAAATTAAATGGAGTAAAAAGTAGCCTTAAGTACAGAAGGTTGAAAAGATATGACATTTTAGAAGTTGCGGGAGTTACAAAATTGATTTTAAAAAAAAATTAACCGCCGCATAAAAATCGCTTTTCCATTTTTGAATAAAATTTTCGTTACTCATTTCGAATAGTAAGTACAATTTAAAGTCAGAAGAGACACTAATTAATAGTGAGCTGTGAAGAACAGTTCGTTTACTATTTGTTTACATCAATGCATGACTCAATACAAGCCATTTGGTAAATTGAAAAAGAAATTCTTTCAACTAAGACTATTTTCTTATGATCAATTGCGTCATAGTAATATTTTTTGTAATAAATTTAATTTAATTTAATTCAATTTAGTTTGATTTTCAATTTGCCTAAAACGGCCTTGGCAAAACCCAAATTGCCTAGGGAAATCGGGTTTTGCCTATAGACAATTCGGGTTTGGCCTATAAATCTCTAGGAAATTCGGGTATTTCCTAAAATCATAGGCAAAACCCGAATTGCCTAGGCTGAAAAAATTGTTTAAATATGACAAAAGAGTGATTTCGGAAACTACTTGTCATTTTCAAAGTATAAAATATTTCGGGTTCACATTTGAGAGAATAATAGAGAAGAGTACAATTAATAGTCATCGAAGCGAACTTTTTTGTTTTTTAATATAAGAAAATAAATTTATCTTTTTTACTAATTATATTTAAAAAAATATTTTATTATTCATACATTTACTTTATTTTATTGTTACTATTGTTGTTTAACATTAAATGGTAAATTTAAAACATTTATCAGGTACGTGAGATTTAACAATTGTTTTTGAAAAAAGCAATGTATGATAAGAATTTCTTTCTTCTATTTTATCAACATTGATTTATGAATAGTAATATCAGAAGAACAAAATATCATTTTTTGTCAATATTTTTTCACTATTCTCAAATACTTTTTGGAAATAAAATGTCTTTTAAAATTTGGATTCTATTCTTCTCATTTTTCGTCTTATTAATTGGTAAATAATTTTTTAATTATTATTTCTATTTTATATATTAGTGAAAAAAATGGAAAAAGAAATCTTTAATTCTGCTTTTTATTTTCTTTGTAAGAAACATCGTATCAAGAAACTTGTAAAACTGGAGAAGTTTCTCTCCCAAACTCAGTAAATGTAAATTGTCAACCTTCGTGTACAAATAAAAACGGAATATCACCTTGTCAGGAAGTAAGGAAAAGTTTCTTTAGTTAATTAAAAAGTGTCTAACAAATTTTACACAATAAAATTAATCTTTCTTATAAGTGAAATTTCTCTGAAATATAAATATTTTTAGTCATCAACTTCTGACTGTGTTTGCAAAAGTGGGTATTTGAGAACTACTAATGGACAGTGTATTATTGCTAGCAGTTGTCCTCCAGAAGGTAATATTTTATAATAAATTAATTAAGTGTAGGTGGGAGAAACAGTGGTTTCGTGGTTGGACTTCTCATTCAAAAAGAAAAGAATATTTTGGGTCGTGATTTTTTGGAACATTTAGAGAAAGGCACCCTGACACGCGCTCTTCTCGAAATTTTCAAAAAATTTTGATAAATAATTATTGAAAAAATTGTTTAAACATTTGGAAAAAGGGGTTTTACTTTTACTTCTCATCTTGTAAGGATAAAATATTTCGGTTTCATATTGCGCGCTCTTCTCCATATTTAGAATAATTTTGTGAGGAAATTATTTTATTAAAGATTGAAAGTGGGCTAATTTGATGTTAGTTCAGCGGCGGCCACTAGATCGAATTGGGGCCACCTTCTGACACATAGATTCAATGTCTGTGCTCGGTTGGGGACAATATCCTTACTTCCGTCAAAAATGAAATTTTTTTAACTACGTTACAATATTTATTTCAAAAATAATTTTTAAATATATACACGGAGAGAAATATCTGGGCTTTTTAGCATGAAGTTCTTCATACTACGATTGCAAGAAACCTATGCGATTTCGGTAAAAGTTTTCTGCAATGTGATTGGTCGGCCCAGGCTCTGGGCGTGGCCTAATAGCCAGTTGCAAGGGTCTAATACCGAAAAAGCATAGGATTCTTGCAATCGCAGTATACTTTCTTGCAGTCATAGTATACTAACATTTCATACTTTTAAAATACAAAGCATTCATGCTATAAACGATTGATTTTTCTCTCCGTGTATGGAGAAGATTCTTAATCAGTGCGCACTCACATCTAAATTATTTTGACAAATTTAAACTCGATATTTCAACTTATTTAGGAGTGTGATGACAAGCGGGAAATCACTTCTTCGAAGGGCTTTTTCCCACATGCCCATAAGTGTACTATCTTTTTTATTTTTTGTTGAATTTACTGTAGTACATGTGAATTAATTTAAAAACAGTTAAGATTTTATTTATTCTATTGCACGGTTGTCTTCAAGCACTTTTAGGTTTACCTAAAATGAGTCAAAATTGTGCTAACGCAGTTTTATCTGGAATCGGCGCAAGATTCCAAATTTTCATTTCCGAAAATAGTAGCTGATTCTTTTTTCGAAAAAAACCAAAAAAACATATATATATGGGCAATTCCACGTGAGATTTTAGTCGACCTCTTAAAATCGGCCAAAAATATTTTTTTTCTATTCTGTATTGAAAAAAACAGATACGTATTTTTTTATTTTTGTTTAATTGTCCAAATTCTCGAGTTATGAATTTTCGAAATTTTGGACTTGTAATTGTAGACCTATATTTAGTAGCTTATAAGTCCAAAAATATTGAGTTTAGGAAAAATTTGTCACAGAATGAAAGTTTTAGTTTTCTTTCGACTTTTAAGAAATGTAAACAAAAAATTTTTTTTAAATTTTTTATTAAAAAAAATTTCTTTTTTAATTTTTTATTTAAAAATTTTTTTTTTTTTATAAACAAATTAATTTTTTTTAACTTTAGCCCGGTTTTTTTTTTATTTTTTAAAATTTATTTATTCCTTATAATATAGAGAAGATTTTCCAAAAAATCCCGAGGTGGGACTGATGTGTTGAATGAGTTTTAAAACATTTTCAAAAATTACTTGCAATCATCACAGTGGGATTTTTTTTTACAATTAACTTCTAAAATTGTCTATACAGCGTAGATCCTTTAATTTAAAAAAAGAACTCTCAAATAGATTAAAATTATACACTGTAGACAGTTTTAAAAAGTTAATTGTAAAAAAATCCCACTGTGATGCTTGCAAGTGATTTTTGAAAATGTTTTAAAACTCATTCAACACATCAGTCCCACCTCGGGATTTTTTGAAAAATCTTCCATATATTATAAGGAATAAATAAATTTTAAAAAAATAAAAAAAATCCGGGCTAAAGTTAAAAAAAATTAATTTGTTTATAAAAAAAAAAATTTTTTAATTAAAAATTTTTAAAAATTAACAAAAAATTTTTTTGTTTACATTTCTTAAAAGTCGAAAGAAAACTAAAAGTTTCATTCTTTGACAACTTTTTCCTAAACTGAATAATTTCGGACTTATAAGCTACTAAATATAGGTCTACAATTACAAGTCCAAAATTTCGAAAATTCATAACTCTAAAATTTGGACAATTAAACAAAAATAAAAAAATAAGTATCTGTTTTTTTCAATACAGAATAGAAAAAAAATATTTTTCGTCGATTTCAAGACGTCGACTAAAATCTCACGTGGAATTGTCCATATATATATATATATATATATATATGTTTTTTTGGTTTTTTTCGAAAAAAGAATCAGCTACGATTTTCGGAAATGAAAATTTGGAATCTTGGGCCGATTCCCGATAAAACTGCGTTAGCACAATTTTGACTCATTTTAGGTAAACCTAAAAGTGCTTGAAGACCACCGTGATTGAGCTTTAGTATTATTTGTAATGAAAAACTCTTTTTTTCGAAAGGATCACTTTGTCCAACAGCTAGAGAATCATATTCCTCCAAAGCAATAAATCCAGCATGTCAACCTACATGTTCGAACCTTTATGGGATTTCACCATGTCCTCAAGTATGCTGAACAATTTCTTTTACTTTCTCTTTGGCATAAATATTCATTTACATTGAAAATCCCTTACATTTTAAATCTAATTTTATATTTTCAGCCAAATGTTTCTGGTTGCATTTGTAAATCAAAATTTGTCAGAAATGAAGAAAATAACATATGCACACTTCCAACAAGCTGCCCTAAAATAGGTACCTAATTTTTAAATTAATTTTATCCCCCACAGCACCGAAACTTTCCTAAAAATTTATTAAATATTTACTTGCAATATTCGTCATATTTAACTAAAAAGTTTAGTGAAAATTGTGTAAAGATTTAAATGTCCCGATTAAATAAATGTTTAGCGCGAAGCTTTCCTGAACATTTCCTGAACATTAAATTACATCTTCGCATAATTATGATTATATATTATAAAGAATTTATCACTTGGTAAAAAATTATATAATTCGAAATAAAAGGAATTTATGAATTTTCCAAGTCAAAAAAAAAAAAAACTTTTAACGTTTCGACAGCTCAGCTGTCCTCTTCAGAAACTGAAAATATTTATTAACAATTAGAAAATAATAAAAAATACAAAAAAATTACAAAATAAAATTTTACAAAAAAATTACCGAAAGTAAGAGTTGTTAAATAGCTTGCGATCAACTCATCGATTTTTTGACTTGGAAGATTGATAAATTCCTTTTATTTCGAATTATAATTATAATTATAATTATGCAAAGATTTTATTGAAATGTTCAGGAAAGCTTCGCGCTAAACATTTATTTAATCGGGACATTTAAATCTGTACACAACTTTCAATAAACATTGCAATTAAATATTCCGAATATTGCAAGTAAATATTTAATACATTTTTAGGAAAGTTTCGGTGCTGTGGGGAATGTTGCAATTCTATTTCAAATCATTAAACAGTATTAAAAAAATAAAAGCAATTCTTACTGATATAATGTGCAAGATCAGACTACAGCAGAAACAATAACAGAGTCAGCATGAGAAACATGCATGAGAAACAGTACTATAATTAACCCATTAACGCCCAAATGACCAAAACTTTTACTTGGACTTCAATACACGATTTGAAGTATTTATAGACAATAAATTTTAGCAGCAATGAGATGTAGGGTGTTTTGAGGGTCGCTCTTTTAGATTCTGGGGTCAAAATAGCGATTCGATCAATACAAAATCCAATATGGCGGCTATTTTGAAAAAATACCAAAAAAATAAGTACATTTTTTTAAAAATATTTTTTTTCAGATCAAAACATTTTTTTTAAACCTTTCTTAAGTATGCTATTGGTGGGCAAAATAGTTGTACTATCAAAATAGAAAATAGAAAAATTCTAATTTTAAGATGGCGGAATCAAAATTTTGAAAAAGTAAATGCATTATAGTAAAAAAAATCTGTCCGCGCAAGCGCGGACACATTCTCATCCGCGCTTCGCGCGGGGGCTCACTTCGCTCGCAAGTTTCAGCGCGCCTCGGGGCGCGCGAATATTGATCGTCGCGCTTCGCGCTCCGGCGATTATTCCACACGTCGCGCTTCGCGCTCCGTGTGTTGTTACGCGCTTCGCGCGCAAATGGCTCGCTTCGCTTGCGGCGGTCTGCAATTGTTGTGCATTATTTGTGTTCTTGTTCTTGTTTCCTATTATATGTTTCGTAAAACATTTTTTTTCTTAAAGTTACTACGACTTTAAGGATTACATTCTCATCACATGTTTTTGTTTGCTGATGATTGCGAGATAAAGTGGATTTAAATGTATATTTTTGGTCTTGATGATTTAAATTGTGAAGTTATTTTTAATTATACTAACTGGGTAGCTCCATGCCTAAAAAATCAAAGTTGTCCCCTACTTCTTCGATTTTGTTGAAACTTCGAAATTTTGAAGTGGAATACATGCCAGTAAAAAACCCTAAATCGATTTCGAAAAATTTTGAAAAATTTTGGATTTACGAGGTTTTTAAAAATTTTTTTGAAATGTTGAAAATGGTATATCTCAAAGGAAAATGAATAAAAATTAATGAAATTTTCAGGGAATGCTTATTGTTTACAGACAATTTAAGAAAATATTTTATAAAAAATTTTTATTTTTTTTTAAACAAATTATTTAAAAAATAATTTTTAAATAAACAATTTTTTGAAAAGTGCCATTTTTTTTTGCTTTTAATAACAATGATTCGATTCCCACTTATTTCACGAGTGTTTTCCAAAAAAAAAATCGATGGAGGGTCTGAAACTTTAGGAGATATTGAATTTTTTGTCCTGGCGCGCAACCGTAAAAAGCGCATTTTCAGGCTATACTGTACATACAAACTAATGTTCAAAATCACCTATAAGTCGTAAATTTTAACCGAATTCAATTTTTCTTTTTGGAGAATGTCAGGCAATAAATTTGTAAGAATACTGTGCATTTTTTAAATTTATATTTGTTTAAACAAATTATTATTATTGTTGTTAATTACTAACTTTTTACATATTGTACCTAGAGAGGTGTATTTTTTCCAATTTTGTAATTTACCGGACCTTACATAAATACAGATGCAGATTTAAAACATAATTATTAATGTTTAAGCAAGATTTAAACAAATTATTATTGTTTATTTCTAATTATTTACGGAATAGTATACTAGAAAGATGCAGTTTTTTCTAATCATGCAAATTTACCAAACTTTTTCAAATTCCGATTTACATTGAAAATAAAATTATAATTTAAACAAAAATAAGAATAAAAAAAAAAAATTAAAAAAAAAAAAAAAATTAAAATAAAAATATTAAAATTATTAATAATAATAATTAATAATAAATAATTAATAATAATAATTAAAAATTAATTAATAATAATAATTAAAAATTAATTAATAATTATTAATTATTAATATTATTAAATATTAAAATTTAAAAATTGTTTAAGTAATATTTGTACTTTTAATTTTAATCTGGGTATGTCCATGTCAAATAAATTAAAGTTGTCCCCTAGTTCTTTGATTTCTATGAAATCAGAAGTTTATTATTATTATAGCTCTGGAATAAAAGCTTAACAAACATAGTTTTTTAAAACAATTATTGTTATAATCATTTTTAGCAACAAAAATTTAATAAATTTTATGAAATATTTTTGACGAAGTAAATAATGATATTGCATACCTACTAACGATAGGATAAGTGTGTTAGTTGTGTTGCGGTTTATTGTTATAAAAATTTTTTATTATCAAAAAATTAATAAATTTTCTTAAATTTATATGACAAATTAAATAATAATATCATTATTTACTTCAGTTAAAACTCATCTGTTTAAAATAATTGTTTATAAGAATTGACTTGGTTAAAAAATTGTTTAAATAATTGTTAATAACAATTAAATTAAATATTAATTGTGTTATTTTGCTTTCCAAAAGTTAATTTTACTTAATTTTGTAAACTCAATAAAGTGTTTTTATTCTCAATGTCTCCGAAAGTATTTAAATTTAAAAGCTTTCAATATAGGCAATTTGTTATTTATTTAATATTTATAATCGTGATTAACAAATAATTATAAAATCGTTTTCACACTTTTCATTATCATGTGTTCTGTAACAATTTTTCGAAGTTTTATAGAAATCAAAGAACTAGGGGACAACTTTGTTTGGTAAATTTGCATGATTAGAAAAAACTGCATCTTTCTAGTATACTATTCCGTAAATAATTAGAAATAAACAATAATAATTTGTTTAAATCTTGCTTAAACATTAATAATTATGTTTTAAATCTGCATCTGTATTTATGTAAGGTCCGGTAAATTACAAAATTGGAAAAAATACACCTCTCTAGGTACAATATGTAAAAAGTTAGTAATTAACAACAATAATAATAATTTGTTTAAACAAATATAAATTTAAAAAATGCACAGTATTCTTACAAATTTATTGCCTGACATTCTCCAAAAAGAAAAATTGAATTCGGTTAAAATTTACGACTTATAGGTGATTTTGAACATTAGTTTGTATGTACAGTATAGCCTGAAAATGCGCTTTTTACGGTTGCGCGCCAGGACAAAAAATTCAATATCTCCTAAAGTTTCAGACCCTCCATCGATTTTTTTTTTGGAAAACACTCGTGAAATAAGTGGGAATCGAATCATTGTTATTAAAAGCAAAAAAAAATGGCACTTTTCAAAAAATTGTTTATTTAAAAATTATTTTTTAAATAATTTGTTTAAAAAAAAATAAAAATTTTTTATAAAATATTTTCTTAAATTGTCTGTAAACAATAAGCATTCCCTGAAAATTTCATTAATTTTTATTCATTTTCCTTTGAGATATACCATTTTCAACATTTCAAAAAAATTTTTAAAAACCTCGTAAATCCAAAATTTTTCAAAATTTTTCGAAATCGATTTAGGGTTTTTTACTGGCATGTATTCCACTTCAAAATTTCGAAGTTTCAACAAAATCGAAGAAGTAGGGGACAACTTTGATTTTTTAGGCATGGAGCTACCCAACTCTTAGTAGAAATATTATTTGCAGAAGCAGATAAAATATTCTTAAAGTATTAGTATCAAGGTTTTTGTGTAGTGTAGACCGGAGCGTAATGGCTAACTTTTCACTCTTTGTTGATTTACACGGACATTTTTGTTTTAATTAAGTGTTTATCTCCTAGAAAAGTTACTCTAGTACCTCAGCTTTCTTTTAAAAAGTCGAACGTCCCTATATTACGCTTACTTTTTTTCTACAATGAACGTACACTTCGTCGGTATCGTAGGTATTGCTCTTTCCCGTGTAGAAATTTGTCGTGGCCTTCCTAGAAATAGACTACAGCTAGATAGCATTTGTCGTGGAAAATTATTCTGAATAAACTGTCCTGGCCCCGAAATGTTAATGTACAGTTTTCCCCTTTATTTTCTTCGCTATGAAGACAGTCTAGAATCTGGCTAAAATTTGTCTAGGATACTGAATTGAAAATTCAGTACAAGTTTGTATAGCAGGTTGTCCAAGAATTAGCTGGGCACTGTCTAGGACGCTGACTTAAGAATTTAGTACAAGTTCGTGGAGAAGGTGGCTCTAAGAGTCTACTAAGCTAGCAGACGAAATCAGTTCTTGACGTAGTGCTTGATGAAAAGAAACCAAGAGTCTACACTTGTAACTTATCTTGTTGTGAAGATAAAATCAAATTTATAAATCTAGTGAAAAGTTTTCAGTTTTCCATTTTTGAACAGGGA